TGCATCACTGAGGTTAAAGTCTGATGTAGGTACCTTTGGGAGGGTAGGGGGCAGTGGCAGGTAGTGACAGAAGGGACATGGGGGAGGCTGGAGAATTGGATGTGTCACAGGTGCCTTGAACATCTGCTGGTGACACAGGTGCTAGATTATACCTCAACAAGAGGTTTTCAAAATGCTCTGTTTGAAGTCCCTTCAAATATGTTGGGGTCCCTTGGAAGGGGGGAGGCACAAGACTGTGACCCCCATTCCACACTGCTCCCTCCATTCAGAGTGGAAAAGCCCCCCCTCCCCTCCACTGCCCTCCAGAGATAACCACATCCATTAGCCAGATGGGCTCCCGTGGGACCTGGGGACCTCAGTGGACTTGACTCAGGTGCAGCTGCCCAGGGCCTGGCTGAGTCACTGGTTCCCCCAGGTCCCCTCCCCCAGCTGCCCAGGAAACACCACTTGGGTGGGTCACTCCCAGGCTGAGCAGAGGGAGGGGAGAGATGGGGCGGGGTCTTGGCCACAGGGGCGGGGCCAGGCTGCACCGGAAGTGGAGGTTTCCCTGGCACAGAGCCCAAGGCAGCAGAGGCGCCCAGTGGTTCTCAGCTTGCACCCTGCAGGCCTTCACACATCTTATGAACCCAGTTAACTGAGTTACACTGAACAGGTGAGCTGTAGACTCAAACACTCCCTACACAAGGACACAATTCTGTCACCTGGTGCAGGTGTCACTGTAACAGGGTCCTTTGTAAGCTACTGTTTTTCAGGGGTGTGGTTCTGGGTTTTTTCCCCATGACCACTGTGTTACTGGAGTGGGGGTGTGGGGGTGAGGGTGGGACCAACTAGAATCGTGGAAAGGGAAGGCCAAGGACACTGACATTTTCCGGGTCACATAAAGGAAGTTTTTGATCAGCCAGCCACTGCCTGGCTCTTCCAGTAGCAGTAAGATCACGGTGGAGGTGGAAGCCAGTCAGGCCCTTTTCCAGTCTCTCCTTTCTGTGCTGACGTGGTCCTTACCAGCATTGGCGGTGACACACCCTTTCATTTGTTGGTACTAATTTATTCATCAAGCGTTTGTTGAGGGTTTTATGGGAGACTGATCAGAGCACTTCCAATGCAGATAACAGAAAACCCCAAATAACATTGACTTAAATAAGAGAGCAGTGTATTTCTGGGCTGTGAAACAAGCCCAGAAACCAGCAGCCTGAGAATCCAGACTCATGGTTACCCAGGTGCCAGGCTCCTTCAGTCTTGCTATCAATTATCTGAAGCCATCATCTTGTGGTCCAAAGTGGTTGCTGGCCTCCAGCCCTCACAATCACATTCCAAGCAACAGGAAGAAGAGATGGAGAAGGATCAAAAAAAAAAAAAAGGGCTGGATACCCATGTGATCCCCCTCCACTTGGAATGTGCGGGGCTCCACTCTCCACCTGGACATTCCTGCCCACCTGGCAGGTCTGGCTCCTTAAACCACACAGGTCCTTCTCATGACAGCCAGATGGTGATTTAATTACTGTGCGCTGGGTCTCCATCAGATTGCAGTCTCCACAAGGCCAGGGGCCTGTGCTGCTGGCTTCACTGTGAGCCCCAGTGCCAGGCTGTGCGTTCCCGTGTGGGGCACGGCCGGTGTCCTCAGGACCCGTGCTCTTTCTGGCAATGAGACTCAGGTGGTTTTTCTCTGCGGTGCTCAGGAGTTGAGCTTCTAAGGGAGGGCGAGCCAGCTCACAAGGCTGTCATAAGGCCGGGAAAATGACGCTTTCGGCTGGATGTCCATTACTGTAATGGTGACCCATTTTATCTGCCACACACTGGGCCGCCTTGAAGATGACAAGTTGACAATGACTCCCATTGGGTCACCGGTGAGTGAGGAGCCCATTATAACATGCGCTGCAGGTTCCAGCACAGCCTGTACCAGGAAGCAGGGGACTGTCATCCCAGACACGCTGTCCTCATTTACCTGAAGGAACCGCAGATCAATCAGGAACCCTCAGCAGGCCTCCCAGCCCCTACCTCACTGGGCCCGCGCCTTCCTGTGCTCAGCACACTTCTGGGCCAGGGGCCCAGTCCCACTGCAGGATTTGAACAGAATCCCCCATCCCCAGGGGAAGGGGGGAGCAGCGGCAGGGACAGTGGTGGTCACCGGGGTGCAGGAAGCGGACACGGGTGTATTTGCTCCATCTGTGTGCCTGAGTCTTCCACGCAGCTTTACGTGGATTCATAGCACAAGTGAACACGTACTTGCTGTTGCCCACAGCTTTTCCATGAGACCATGGAAACGGTGGCTGAAGGGTGGTTTGGGCTCCTTTTTAATTGCTGTTACTTACTTATTTATTCTTGAGACGGTCTCACAGCGCTGCCCGGGCTAGCCCTGAACCCCTGGGCTCAAGCGATCCTCCTGCCTCTGCGTCCCGAGTAGCTGAGGCTGCTCTTAGCGCCCATTAAAAATGTCTTTGAGCTTGGGGCTTGGCTCAAGTGACAGAGCGCCTGCCTAGCAAACATGAACTTGAGTGCAAACCCCAGTACCACTAAAAACAAAAAAAGTTCTTATTTTCTGAATTTGATCAAAGTACATTATATGCAATCTGTAAATATCACAATGAAACTCCTTTGTACAATTTTAATTTATGGTAATAAAAAAAATTAAAAACGTTTTTGTTCTATCTGTTGTGGGCCAATGCCTCCTTGGTCCACCCTCACCATCCATCATGGTCACTCTTGAACCCATGGATGCCTTAGAACTCTGCTTCCTGGGAAGCAATGACCGTGACAGAAAATTTGATGCCCATCTAAAGCCCGTCCTGTTTGTCTGCAGGTGCCACCTTCTCCCCACTCTGAGACCTGAGCCATGGCTCCATGACCACAGAGCTCAGAGCCTGGCCTGTTCGTGGCTGATTTGTCCTTGGAATGTGGGGGACACGGGAGGGAGCGAATTGCCTGTGCTGCACAGAGGTAAGTTCTCCATGCCTGTTGGTCTTGCACTTTGCAGGAAAGAGGATGGCTTAAAGCAAAGCCGTTTTCATAAGGAGGCTCCTGCCAGATAAACAAAGTTGCTTTTAAATAAACAGAGAAGGAAACCAAGAGTCCAGCGGCCTGAATGGAAGGTCAGTAACACTTACCTCACTTTCCAGCCTGTGACTGACCAACAAGCTTGATATCTAGTTTTCAGTTCATCCCAAGGATTTAGGATTTCTGCTTTGTCAAACAGACTCAGAGCCCCCTTGACAAGGGGAATTGAGAACTATAACTGTCCCCAGGTTCTGGTGAGATTGATAAGAGGGACCTGACGTAGGAGAAAGAATGCTGAAGATGGGCATTGTGTCCCCTGCACTGAGATGGATCTGTCCCCAGCAGGAAAGCCAGGATGCAGGACAACTGACTGCAGGACTCATCTCAAAGCAACAGCTGGGGAAGGCTGTGGATTCACAGGTAGCCTGGTGCACCGGTGGCCTCAGCCCCTGCCAGCTCCCCAATGCCACATGCATACAAGGACGAGGGCATGAGAGACGTCACTTCTCTGCTGAGTCCCAGGGAGCCACCTCTGTGCTTCCATATCTCAGCTGTCCCTCTCCCTCATCGGCCAAGGCTGCCACAGACACAGCCCCTCACTCTCATCCGTCACTGGCAGGATTACTGTGGGTTCCAGAGCTCAGTCTGCGCACCCTGGCCAGGGTTTGTGCCTTACTCCTCTCCCACCCAGGTGCTGGAAGTACGAGTGACCGGAAGTCAAGCTGTGACCTTGATCCTCACCTTGGCCCCAATCTCTATTAGGATCTGTGCCTGGGACCCTCTCTCCAAGCCAGGCGTCCCTGCCACCTTCCCTTTGTCTCTTTCCATAACCCAGAGAGGACACTGGACACTGTAGCTAGAGTCCTGTGCCTTCCAGCTGGCAGGTGGCCTGGACCAGAATCCCCAAGCCTGATGTCTTTCTCATCCACGCAGAGGTGGCCCGAGCTTTCCAGGGGGCGCCACATTTACGTGTGTGAGGGTTCCTATGACTACAGTGTGGACACACCTGTGAGATGGCATCACTGTCAATACCGTTTGTCCTGTATCCTGGGGACCCCAAGGTCCCAGATGACCGATCTGGGTGGGGTGAGGGTAACCCCTCTCCCCCGTTGAGGTTCCAGGTAGGAGGACAAAGCCAGGCAAATGTTCGGCAGACAGCCTCCTTTCTCTTTAGGAGAGCGGAGGTGCCACCCTGCTTCTCCTGGTGCCTGGACTGGCAGAAGGGATGGGGCCAGTATGCTGTCCTCAGCTGGCCAAGTGCTTTGGACCTTTGGACCTTGTTCCTGCTGCTGTCCCCCCCCCCCCCCCCCCCCCGTGCCCACCAGTAGGCACCCTCTGGCCCAGCCAGAATAGAGCTCAGCCTGCTGGTGTGAGACAGGAGGGGTCAGAACTGCCACAGCCCTGGGGAGTGGCTAAGCGCCTAACCCCATCTCCCCCTTTTAGGAACAAGTGTGTGTGTGGGGGGGGGGTCCCTCGGGCTCGGTGTGGGGAGCTCTGTCCTCTCCACCGTCCATGGCTCCCCCACCCCAGCGCACAGCACCACAGGCAGGGAGCATGGCTGGGGGGCCACTCTGCGTGGGGCGTCCCAGGACAGCTGGACGGAGCCTCGCTTGGGCCCTGGCCGGTGTGGGGATGGACCCGAGGTGGGGGCTCAGCCACGACCTGAGGTTGGGGGTGTCTTCCTCGGATCAGCCCCGCCGCCCACCTCCCGTGCTGCGGGTGCGGGGAGCGGAGTTCCGGTCACTCGGGCGGCGGGGCGGGAGGCGGCGCTGAGCCGGGTGACGCGGCGGCTCCCGCGCTGCATAAATAGCGGCGGGGCTCGGGTGGCGGCCACGTCGAGGGTCCCCGCGCCGCGCTTCCCGCCGCCGCCCGAGCCCCGCGCCATGCGGTGAGCGCCCGCCCAGCGCCTCCCGACCCGCGTCCGATCCGACGCCCGGACCCCACTCGCGACAGCCGCCACCCGCCGCTCGAGTCTCGGGGTCCCCATCGCCCCGCGTCCTTCGCTCCAGATGGCCCGAGGCGGCGCCCTCCTGCTCGCCGCGCTCCTGCTGGCCACAGCCCTGACCGCCAGTCTGGGACTCGGGTCACCGGTGAGTGCTGGGGACAGCAGCCTGGGGATGAGGATGGAGGTTTATTCTGGGAGAAAGAACCAGTAATTCTGGATACAGGGAGGGGGCATGTCCCCAGGAGAAGGGTCCCCAGGACCTGCAGGCTGGGAGGGACGGCTGAGGGCTCCCGCATGACACACCCTGGGGTGACAGCCCCACCATGGCAGGCTCATTGCGGGGAAGCTGAGCCTGCAAGATGAGCGATGCTGGGTGCAGCCAGGAAAAGCCAGGGGGCCTGGAGAGCCTGGTGGGTTCCCTCTCCCTCTGCCCACCCGCCCATCTGACCCCCTTCTCTCCTGCTCCAGGGAAAGGAGAAGAGAGGCTGGACCCTTAACAGCGCCGGCTACCTTCTGGGCCCACGTAAGTGACACGCTGTGATTGGTCACCAACTCTGTTTTGTTGGTCCTGCTTTTTGTGGAATATTGTCATCATCTTTTGAGACACTGATGTCCAATTGTAGATAAAGGGGAAGGGGACAGTCTAGCCTAACCAACTGTTGATTTAAATTTATCTCCTAAATCCCTGGGGAGCCTCCTCTCCCACTCCCCAAAAGTTAGCCTTCCTCTTCCTCTGTCTCCTCCTCTACTCTGCTGTCCTCACCTACAGCAGATGGATGAATTCCTGGGGTCTCTTGATGCTACCCCACCCCAGGCTTGGGGTACTTCCATCCGTGGAACTCCAACCCCAGTCCTCCTTGCTGCAGCTGGTCACAGCCTGAGTGCCTCATCTGCCTGGCATTCCCCTTTCTCTATTTCTGAGGGCTGCCCCACCCCACTAGGCCCCTTTGACACCTCTCCTGGCCACCAGGGACCTCTGCACATTGACAGTAGCACTGTTCTTTCCAGAAGCTTCTTCCTCTGGTGCAACTTCCCCGGCCCTTGGTGGGATCCCTCTTCCACCTTTGCTCAAGCTTCCCCAGGCTACAGCCCTGGAGGCTCCTTGGAGCTGTTGGGGTTTTCTCCCCAGGTCCCTGGTGCCTCCCTAAACACCCTCATCCACCTGAAAGGCAACTGACCTCACCTGAGTGAGGGCTCCATCTCCAGGCAATTGCCAATAACCTGAGAGTAGCCCAAATACCCCCCACCCCCACCTCAAAACTAAACTGAGATGGTTCCCTTCTTGCTCAAGCCTGTCCCCTCTCCCTCTCCCTCTCCAGGACTACTGTCATCCCCAGGACTCCTAATGGTCCCTTGCCCTAGTTTTTCTCTTGTCCCCACTGCTTCGTGGTCAGAGGCTGTCTCAAGCATCTTCACGGCAGGACTTGGGATATTTTCGAATGGCTGAAATACATAAGTGAGGAGGCTAGCAGAAGTGAGCGGGTTTACATGCACAGGACAGGGCATTGGCTGGTAGAAACCCCTGCAGGGACTGGCAGGCAGGTGGGCTTCCCCCTGACCCCAGCAGGGGAGGCTGAGGTGCCCACATGCCTTTCATGGGGAGTCTGCCTGTTTCCATGGACACCTAAGTTCATGAAGAAGCTGCCTGCCCTCAACCCAGGCCACAGCCCCCAGGCCCCCAGGAGGGCTGTTTGGGGTCTGTCTCCTGTCCCAAGGGGACCTGTGTCGTTAGCACTTTCTCTGCTTTGACAGCTCAAGTCTGGGCAAGAGGGGGAGTCAGAGGACTTTGGCCAGCTTACAGCTGTGCCACGGTTGGGGCTGTGAACACTTCATCCAAGTGCGTGTCAGCCACTCCCACCACCCGCCCATCACACTAGGGGTGTGATACTTGGGTGTCTCAACCTTGCATTTGACATTGGATGTGTGTGATCATTTTGTTACATTAACCAGGCAGAGAGTCCATGTTGGGGATTCTTGTTGGGGCTAGGGGGGCTCTAAAGTCCCCCTAGCCCCATGGCTGCGTTTACAGACAAGCACCCCAAGACCCAGGGAGCAAGGACTTGCTCTCTGCTCTGGAATTCACAGGAAGGAGCAGGAGATGAGTGCAGAGACAGGCTGGTCCCTGCAGAAAGGAAGCACTGTCCCCTGAAATCCCTGTCACTATGCCATATTGAAAATATTCTTACCAAAAAGCTTTTGAGTCTGAATAGACACCAAGCTAGTGTGCACGGTCAAGTCCATGCTGCTCTCCACTTGGCTCAGCAGAAGTGCGCTGTAGACTGGCTCTGTTAGGTGCTTCTCAGCCCCATGGTGTGCCTGGACTTCTAAGGCCAGAGCTACTGCCCCCCACACCCAGGTATGATGGTCCCATGGGGCGTCTCTGAGATAGGCCACTTAATTTCTCTATAAATTTAGTGTCAAGAGCTCTGTCTCCAAAGAGAGAATTCATTTCTCTTCCTCTAGCCTTGTAGGTGCCACGAATCACCCAGACTCAGTAGTCAGAAACCCCCTTGCTTTTGTTTCCTAAATTACCCACTTCCAGCCCCTCTGCTGGCGCCTCCCTTGACCCTGGCTTACAGCCGTGTGTGTTTTGGTCGTGAGCACCTGCGTGTCCTTCCCGGGGGTGGAGGGGGGAGGGTGTAATGCACAATAATGACAGCGGACTCCTCCCTCTCTGGTCTGTGAGCAGATGCCATTGACAACCACAGATCATTTAGCGACAAGCATGGCCTGGCTGGCAAGCGAGAGCTCCAACCTGACGACGAAGCAAAGCCAGGTGAGAGGGAGGCCTTGGGCTTGGGTCCGTCACTCCCCAAGATGACCGGGTGCTTCAGTAGCAGTAGGGGGGAGTCAGGATACCTGGCACCTCCTATCTACAGCCACAGCCCGTGCCTGGCCTGGTTATGGCCAAGACCATGTGGCCTCACCACGCCTATCAAACCTGTCCCAGGCAGAACCAGTGAACCTGAAAATAAGACCATGGAGCAGCTCAGACACAGGGAGGGAACTGGCCACAGAGGCCTTGTGACCAAGGAACTGGTGGTTTGGGGCCTCTGAAGAGCTGCCCAGGAGCAGCCCTTCCCACTGCCCTAGAAGGGCCCTGGGGAATGGCAGTGATGCCCTGGGCCCTGGGAGGCTCTCTGGCCACCAGCACCCACCTCCTCCATGTGATGGGTGACACGGGTAGGGGCACAGGAGTGGCCATTGTGGCAAGGTGTGAGTGTTGACCATTTCTGTCTTCTAGGAAGCTTTGACAGGTCCCTGCCTGAGAGCAGTGCTGTGCGCACAATTCTTGAATTTCTGACTTTCTTGCAACTCAAAGGTATGTGAAATATTTCCAGTTTAAAATACCTTCTTGAGCTGGGGGTATAGCTCAGAGGTTTAGCACTTGCCTAAGCGTCCAAGAGGCCCTGGGTTCCATCCCCAGCACCACTTAAAAAAAAAAACAAAAACCAAAAAACACCTCTTAGAACACTGGACACAAAGTCTAAGAACATGATGATATGCACTGTACTCCCAGCAACTCAGGAGATGAAGGCAGAAGGACACCGTGAGCCCAGGGGTTTTGAGACCAGCCTGGGCAAGACAGCGAGACCATGTCAAAAAAGAATGAAAGTAAAGGAAGGGTTCCATACAGTTCCACTGAGAAGTAGCCCGTCATTCACCTAAGCACTGCTATACATTAGTGTCACAGGCATGTGACACTTGAATTCTGTGTGCTGGGCTGGGATCGAAGCACCATCAGGACACTGTTTCTTGCAGTGTCATCAGACCAGCAGTGCTACCAGGAAGAATGGGGCTTCTGGCACAGTTCACTCTAGTGTGACATGGTGACACCTGCCGCGTCTTTTAGGGCAGTGGTAGGCCATAAGCCAGGTTCTGTGGAGGCCATCTGAAGTCATATCTGTACATGCAAACCACAGGAGGTCAGACCTCAGATGGCACTTTTCCTTCATGCTTCTCCTGCCAGGAAGGCTGCTTTTTCTTTCCTTTTTTTTTTTTTTTTTGGCAGTACTGGGTGTTGAACTCAGAGCCTTGTGCTTGCTAAGCTTGGCTTGAGCCACACTCCCAGCCCTTCTTGCTTTCTGTAGAGAGTCTTGCTTTATGCCCAGGCTGACTTGGACTGTGATCCTTCCAGGTGGCTGGGATGCTGGGTGCATACCACCCCATCCAGCTTTATTGGGTGAGATGGGGAGTCTCCAAAGTTTTTTTTGCCCCTGGCCCAGGCAGGCTGCCTTTGAATCTAACAGAAGAGGCTCTTGGTCCTGGTTGCTTTAATCAGTCACTGTATGGTGAAGGGAGCCAGGGGAGAGGGGCTGGCCCCCAGCACTTCACAGCAGGGAGACAGTTTGGGGACAGAACTAGTTAGGTGTGGAACGGACCATTTTGTCTCTTCAACATTTCGTTGTCAAATTTTGCACACCAGTTTTGTTGTGGCTGAGTCTTAGCATCTTTCTGATGTAGTCGTTTCGTTTGCAGTGATCAGGTCGATGTTCCCCTGCTTTGAAGGACTTTGGGCAAGGTGTGGGGAGGGGAAGAGAAGTGGGAGGGCTGGAGGTTTAAGGTCGCAGAGGCTTAGACCCATCCAGGGGCAAGGAGAATGCAGGAGGACGACTTGGAAGCGATGGTGCTAGTTAGCAACCTTAAAACCTCCAAATGAGTGACCCAGTCCCCCCCTGGCAGGCCAGGGCAGATTTGGGGGACCTCCATGAGAAAAGCTGGTGACTTCCTGCAGTGCTGGCTCTGCCAGGCAGCTCTTTGTTTTAGTTTTAAATTTTTTAACATAAAAGCTAAATTTGAAGACACCAGTTTTCATCACCTGAACAGGAATGGCACTTTTTCAAAGCATGAATTTAGAAGTCGGACAGTTTCAAGTGTAAAGTATGGGATTTAGTCACTCAAAGTGTGACACAGAGTACCAAGTCAGGACTGAATCCCACGGTCTCCGTTCCTGTGTGCGTGTTATGACACCTATGTGTGGTTCTTCCCTTTCCAGAGGCCGGGGCCCTTGACAGCCTGCCTGGCCTCCCCTTGGCCGGCTCCTTGGAGGACACAGAACAGTCCTGAGATGACACTGTCCTGGGCATGATTGTCTGTGTGGTAATTTAGTCATTTAGATGAGAGTCATGTGATGCCAAGTCATGCAGAGTCAATCATCATTTCTGTGCTCTGCCTTGATGCTGTGTTGTTACAAAGTAAGAGTTTTGGTTTTGATGGTTACTTTGAGTGACAAAATAAAAAATAGCAACTACTTGGGATTGTCTGATTCTTCCGTACTTCAGCTCGTCACAACCGCTCCCCATGTGTTGAAAAGATAACGCTTGATAATAATCATAGGTGTCGGACATAAATCTTAAACCCAGATTCCACATGGAGAGCATCTGAGTCACCTCTTACTGAGTGTCCAGGGATGAAGTTATTTTGCTATTAAGCTGAGTCAAGCATAATTATGGAGATGAGTGTGTCACTGAGGTGACCAACAGCACAAGGGACAAAATTCCTGCCTGGAGGAGCTGCTGTTCTGGGGAGACAGGAATAGGCAAGTGTGTATCGACCAGGGACGTAACAGACCAGAGGATGGCGTGGGGCTTGTGAAGGAGCCAAGTGAGGAGGGTGCAGGCATGGGGTGAGGGGGACTGTTGGTGGGGGCGGGGCAGCTCTGATGCAGATCACAGCCAGGGCTTCCGAGCAGAAAGATCTTACCAGAACGCCCAGGAAAGCGGGCGAGGAGGAAGAGCCAGACACCTCAGCAAAGCCAACGATGCTGCAAAGCTGCAAAGGCCCCGTATGTGCTCATCTGAGCAGCAATACGTGCACAATGGCTGCTTGTGTGTGTCCCCTGGGGAGGAGTAGGGACTAAGGAGCCTTTGCCAGGGTGGCCCACTGACACTGCACTCCTCTGGGGACAGCTACCCCAGCAGATGGCCGGGGCAGCCACACGTAAGAGGGAATCTTGTCTCAGACCTACGGCAAGGGACATGTGGCCTTGCTTCCCTGGCCTGGTGACCTGCTCCCTCCCACTCCCATGGCCCTTCCCCAGACCAGCTGCTCCCACTCAAGTACCTAGTCCACTCTATGGCTTAAGGTTTGAGCATTTCAGACCCATGTGCCCACTCACTCCCAGCTCAGGTGCAGAGGCCTTCCCTGCCCAGGCCCGAACTTCGTCCCCTCCCCCCACCTCATTCTTCTTTTTCCTTTTCACATTTCTTTAATGCTCTCTGGACTTTGGAGGGCTTGTCCGAACTCAGGCCACCAGGCCCTGCCCAGGGCCAGGAGGGCTGTGTAGGCTGCACCATATTTCTTAAGTCCCCGGCCCGTCCAGCGGTGACACCTGGGCTGCTTGCCCAACCCAATGGCCCACAGCCTGTCCTCTGTGTCTCTCTAGCCTTGCTCCCTCCCACCCAGGACCAAGGACACCCTGTCCCTGCACAGCCTGCCCTGTCCAGTTCCTGCACTGAGTCCTCCACACCACCACCAACCACAGCTGTCACTTCCTTGCTCACCTTTGCACATGTCCCCAGGGCTCAGCAAACTCCTACATGGCCCCTAGCAGTTCACTCCAGGGTCACCTTGTTAAGGGCTGCCCTTCCAAAAATCATTCTGGTTCTATTGCTGATTTGCCTGTTCTCACCCAAGGAGCTGACAGGTTGATTAGGCCCTGCTGGGCCTTGCTTCCCAGCCCTCCAGAGTTGTCCTCCTCCTTCAGAACTGTGTGCTTGAGCCATGCCTCCAGTACATTTTGCTCTGGCTATTTTGGAGATGGGGGGTCTCTGGACCATGATGCTCCCAATCTTTTTTTTTTTTTTGTGGTACTGAGGCTTGAACTCAGGGCCTATACCTTGAGCCACTCCACCAACCCTTTGTGTGTGAAGGGTTTTTTTGAGATAGGATCTCCAGAACTATTTGCCCGGGCTGGCTTCGAACCATGATCCTCCTGATCTCTGCCTCCTGAGTAGCTGGGATTACAGGAATGAGCCACCGGCACCCAGCTCTATACTCTTTTATATAAGGAACTGGAGCACTGGAGGTTTTTGGTAACTGACAGGTAGAGGAGGGGTCCTGGAACCAATCTGTCACCTATTCCAAGGGACAGCTGTCTTTATCTCTAGCTTCTGCCACAGAGTAAGGATTCCCAGGAGTCAAAAGGAGTTGGTAAGTGAGAAGAATTAAGTGGATTTTTTTTCTCCTTCGAGGGTCTTGATCTGAAGCAGGCTGTTCCAAACATAGCTGTACAGAAGGCCATTTGTCCCCTGCGCCTGGCTCACAGATGTACCTGGTCACTGGGCCCCACAGCCTCCTTCCATCAGCCTGTTTGTGTCTGAGTTTGCTAACAGTCTCTAAGCACCGATACTGTTTATAAACATGGAGACATGAAAATGCCATCTCGGTGTATTTCAAGGTGGTGATTAGAGTTTAAATCTATGTCAGTTCTCAGTTCACTACAATTGAACCCCCTGCAACGTTTTATTCATCTTCCTCTTACAATGGAACCAAAATAGTCAACATAATAACTAATCTTACCGGCTGGTTTCTACAAGCTAGTTACTTTAGCCATATTTTACAGGCAATGATAATGTCACAACAGTAATTATGGCCAAGTTAGTTGGATAATAACGGTTTTCCACAATTCAAGTACAAACGCGAGAAACTAGATACAATCTGAAGCCCCCCTCAGCACCCCTGCTGCCCCCGCACCCGAGGGAGACTGGGGAGTGTCTACACTGCAGAAATTCCCTGGGTACTCACTAGTTCTCTACAGATTTCAAGTTGTATCACAACGACCATCTGGAGGGTTTAGTTGTAAACAATCTGAAAAACGAACACAAACAAAACCCAAGAAACCGCCCTGGTTTCTTATTTGGGGCAGGCAGCCCCTGGAGGGTACTTCCTGAGAGAGAGAGAGCGGTCCACAGGGACCGTAGGAGCCACTGACCGGAACCCACTCTCTCCCCTCTGGTCCTGACAAACAATGTCTATGTCACACCCGTCCTCAGACAAGGAGCTCTGGCCACCGTCCTTCAGAAAGCTTGCCAGGCCCCATGCTGAGGGAGAGCTTGGTCTTAACTCCTGCCGAGGACTGGCCTTAGGCTCCTGCAGACCACTGTCTAAACTAGAGGTTCCTTGTCATTGACGAGGCAAAGGTGACAAGCGCTCGCACTTCACTATATTGTACCCAGCTCAATCTTCAACCCTTTGGATTTGAACTCCATGTGGAGAATCTGTGACAAGCACCTCCCGAACTCCTCCAGGATCATCTGCTCGGCCAGGCCCTCCGAGCAGTGCTCCTTCTCGGCCTCCTCGCCTTGAGCCAGCAGGCAGGCACATGTGGTCTCCACCACTTCCCAGGAGATGCACGACAGGGGCCGCCTGTGGAAAGGGACGGCGGGGTCAGCTCAGCTGCAACGTACTTTTCTATTTGACAGAACAGTGCTTGCCCGCGCCAGCTTAAAGAACGTCACCGCTATAATCTGGGTCCCCTCTGCTGATAGAGAAGGCCGATGTGGAGGAATGGCACGGGCGAGTGCATCCTGCAGGATCTAAGTTTTCTGAGTTAGGTCCACGGACAAACTCAGAGGTTCCTGAGATTCAGGAACCCATAGCCAGGGCAAGCCTTGGTGACACAAGAGTCCAAGATAGGACAGGGCACCATAGTCAAGTTGTGCAGCTTGGTGTGAGCTGTGTGCTAGGTCAGCATAAGGAAAGGTGGCGGTGTGACAGCCAGGCTGAGTGTCTGCCCCTGCTCTGACAGAGCATCTGGACTCTTCAGTCACACTTTGGGTCACACTGTGAGGATGGTCCTGCACCATGAAGTTTCTCAGAGCTGCACTGTGTTGTTTAGAACCAGCCATTTTCCCACCAAGCTTGAGCAAAAAGTGTGGCTTACCCAGACAGCGCCCCGAGCGGGGCTGAGGTCCAGAAACCTCAGGGGAGCCTTATGGAGGAAGGGAACGTTCTGGACTATGGAAACAGCTAAATGCTGGGTGGGTCAGAGTCTGTCTGTAAAGACAGTACACAATGGCTTTTGTTGATGCTACCCTTGTGTCAAGAAGAGCTGTGACAGTGGGTTATGGGGCATACACCTGTAATCCCAGCTATTTGGGAGGTAGAGGCAGGAGGATAGAGTTTAAGGCCAGCCCAGACAAAGTTAGCTTGAGACTCTGTCTCAAAAACAAAATACAGCTGGGCACTGGTAGCTCACGTCTGTAGTCCCAGCTACTTGGGAGGCTGAGATCAGGAGAATCATGGTTGTAGACAGCCCAGGCAAAAAGACTGTGTGAGACCCCATCTCCATAGAAAAAAAGGAGGGTGTGGTAGTGTGCACCTGTCATCCCAGTGATGGCAGCAAGTGTGAAATAAGTGGTCTAGGCTGGCCTGGGGAAAAATGGAGACTCTATCTTCAGAATAACCAGAGCAAAAAGGGCTGGGGGTGTGGCTCCAGTGGTAGAATGCCTGCCCAGCATGTGTGAGGCCCTGGTTGCAATCCCTAGTACGGAACAAAACAAAACAAAACTGGACTTCAGTGCAGGGGATCTCTGTCGCCTACTGCCACCTTCCACAGGACATCACCCCAGGGTGCTGAGAGCAACACAGAGGACGCAGCCAGCTTGGGTAAAAAGATCTGGCCTCTGGGTGTTTCTCATGTCTCTCTAACCAAGTAAAGCTGAGTTTGGTTTTGCAAAAGGAAATGTACTCACTGGTGACATCTGCGACATCACGACGTGACTCATAACATGGAGCTCAAAGAAAATGACTCTCAAATATGGTAAAATCACTTCTTAACCTTTAGGATCTGCTAGGATTATAATACAATTTCAAGGTAATTAAATAGTAAAGCGTTCAACTAATGGTTCTCCATAACCCTCCAGGAAAGGTCTGGACATGTGTCAGATGTGTTTGCTGCTGCCCAGTGAGGAGCAGGCTGGGTATTACAGCCCGAGCCAACGAGGCTCCTGACTTCTTCAGGGGCGCCATCGGAACACAGCTGCCTCTGCTGGTGACAGTGGCTGGCCCCCTTTGGTCTGTACAAAACAGGGGGCACCTCCAACCAGGAGGAAAGAGGCCAAGGT